TAATCTACCTTAACCAAAATCAACGTAGACTATCACTCACCCACACCAGATGGAAAACTCTATATATATATATATATCGTCAAATAGAACTGCCCGGTAAACCGTAGGCAGAGAGGGAGAAGAGGACAACAAATGAGGGGCTGTGACAAACTGTTTCGTCGGAGTTTCACCGATATATATATATATATATATACTTGCCCAGCTATTCCATTTGCCTGGGGCGTGTAGCGGCAGTTTAATAATTGATATAAAAGTTGCATAAGGAAAAGATGGCAAAATCAACATTCATAAACTTTTCAAATTTAACAAAAGTGCCAACAAACATAATAATATCTTACCTTTGAGGTAGACAGGGTGTTGGCTCTTGATCACTCCGATGAAGTCGCACGGAACAACTCGCCCCTGCAAGTGCATGCGAAAAGCCCAAAAAAGTTGAAAAAACTCACTGAAACGACTTCCGGCAAGGGACAGCTTGCAGTCTTCAGTTGCTGTCGAGTGACGTTAGCAGACATACATACAGTTCCCTTTGGTAGCTTCATAAATACTCAGATAAAAAAATAAAAAATAAAAAAATGTATCAGAGCAAATAGACAGGTGTTGAGCACACGAAAGGTACAACACTGCATCCTGAAATTCAGAAATTCCCTTAAACTTTTCCCCAAGCCTGCCCAAAGCCTGCAACGTAATCCTCCGAAGCTACTTTCAACGGCCTAATCACTGTACTATTAGTTTCTGCTCGACTAGTATCCCCCCCCTCCAATATCCTGCTCAGTCAATCCCCTGGATCCCAGGGTAATCAAAGCTGGCAGGAAAATCCCACAATTGTGTGTCAGATGTATTCCAATCTCAGTCTGTATAAGGGACGCTGGACCCGTTTTCCAGCAGGTGATGCTCCCCACCAATAGAAGGCGCCTCTCCCCAAAAAAAAAAGTTTCTGCTCGACTAGATAATAAAGATTGAGTAAGGACCTAAGGAAAAAAAAAAAAAAAAAAAAAAGATTGTGTAAGGAGTCTAAGGACCTGCCAAAACACGGACTGAGAACACGGCTGATTTCGGAGTTTTGCCGCTGGAACGTATGCCTTGCTGAGATTCCCGCCTTCTGCTGAGTTTTCTAAGTCGGTGCGTGTGCGTGCTTGCTGGTCTGTGTGTCTGTCTGAGTGCTTGTCAGCCTGAGTGTGTGTGTGGCCCACCAGGACACTTGTCTGTTTGGAAGGCCCGTGCAGCCGGCCGGTACTTACCTGTGGCCGTGACTTTGGGGGCTGCAGTGGGGAAAAGCACTTCAAGTGGCCGAAGGGGTAGTTTAGGGCACACTCAAGTACTGCGGTATAGGTACCCCGGTAGCACTTGAGTAGCGGCGGTAGGCCAAGCAAAAGAAGACAAAAAGTAAGTTTGTAGTAACTTTGTACCTTTGGGGGTAGAGGTCCAGTAAGGGCCTGTAGTCATAAATATCATGTCTGCAATGATGTTTCTCTCCGAAAGGGAGGAGGTACCGGTCGCTTGGAGACCGCAAGGCCTTGAAGTGACGGCCCAAGAGGCTGGTAGGCCGCTATCTCTTCAGGATGAGTGCCTAGCTCATCCTCATTTGTGGTGTGCAAGTTTGGGCGTCATGCTGCTTGAGCGGGCGCTGGTTATCAGAGCGCCGTGGGTGAAGGAGCGCTGGGTGTACAGTACCATAGGGAGGAGGAAGAAGACCGGGAGCTCTCACCTTGGCTATGGTGAAGCATCGTCGGCAGGAGGAGGAGGAAGAAGGGAGTGAAGAAGGAGAGTGGCGAGGTACTTACCTGGCTATGGAGGTCGGCATCTTCATCTTCGTGGTTGTCGCTGTTAGAGGTTGGAAGGCCCTAGTTAGGGTGCGCTACTACAAGAAGGTTTTGGGGCAGAGTTAGGCATGGCGGCCTAAAGTGCAGTGGACAGAGCTGCTTTTGCGTTGTCTTTTGAACATCAGGGATTGGTCCCTGATGTCCACCATAGCCAGTACTTGCCGGAGGAGGAGGAAGATGAGATTCGCGGCTATTGTGGACCTCACATTGTGCTGGCAGTAGAAGATGGATTCGAACATAGATTCTTGTTCAGCCATTCACCGTTATTATTATTATTATTATTATTATTATTATTATTATTATTATTATTATTATTTATTGTTGTTTGAATAAGAGAGGGGGAAATAAGGAACAAGAGTTGGTTGGCGAGAGAGAAGGGAATTGTCATTGGTCTTTTGCTGGTGTACATCTTCTTCTTCTTCTTCTCCTTCTTCTTCCTTTCTTCTTCTTCCTCTTCTTCGGTCTCTCTCTCCTCTCAAGTTCATTCATTTCTTTTGCAATTGCACGGCATTGTATTTCCTTGTGTACTTGCACTTTGGTATTGGCCGCGATCGTAACAATTGCGAAAAAGCGAACGACCAGGCACCAAGTGAACATAACTAACTCTCTGTTTGCCAAGCAAAGCATCTTAAAGCTGAAGCCAGATCAAATTACAAAGCCTGCAACAAGCCTGCAACAAAAGGCCACTGTTCGAGGTTCTGTGCACATATGATTAATGGGTGGTGTCATCTCTCAGTGCAGCCCAAGGCGTCAGATTTTGGTATGGCTATAGGGGGGTTGAAATGATACTCGGACTCCAGTCCCCAAGCCTGCCCCAAGACAGCCCCAAGCCTGCCCCAAACCTCCCCCGAGAGCCTTCCCCAAGTCTGCAACAAGACTGCCACTTCCAGGTTAGGTCAACGGTGCAGCCCAAGACGTCAGATTTTGGTACTGCTATAGGTGGTTGAAATGAATCAAATGATGGCTTGGACGGCAGTGCCCTGCAACCTGAATGAGAGTGGTGTGGCATGCCCACTGCAAGCTATATTCATGACACACAGGGAAGCTGCCTCCATGGGAGCAGTGGCAACATTTAATAAAAAAAAAAAAAAAGGAAAACTGTAGTAGTAGAGAAGGGCCTAGCTCAGTTGTTATACCGATGACGTTTTGAAATATAGAGCCAAGATCGAATCCAGATGCAATAAAAAAAGAAAAGAGAAAGGAAAGGGAAGAGGAGAGGAAGAGCATAATTTGCAAACAAAAACAAAAACAAAAACAAAAGAAAAAGAAAAAAAAAACACGAGTAGGGAAAGGGGAAATATGATCAAATATCTGGAGTCGAGAAAGGGGAAAGAAGAGGAGTAGAGAAAGCGGAAAATGTCAAAACGACCAGAACGATCACAACACAGCGAACACGATGAACAAGACGGCTGGTGCAGCGAAAAAGGGGGAAATAACTGGCGTCGAGAAAGGGGAAAGAACAGGAGTAGCAAGAGGGGAAAATGACAAACCGTTCGGAGCACAGCGAACACGACGAGCAATACCGCTGGCGCACAAACAGATGTACGACCAACAATTTGCGAGCATACTTCTGGCTACAGGACATGTGAGGATATGGCAATAGCTGCAATACGCACCTGATGAATCAGCTGGTAAAAGCTGTGCTGCCCATTTGTTCCAGGCTCCCCAAAGTCGATCTGACCAGTGGGATAAGGTATGGGGAGGCCCTCGATCGTAACACCCTTGCCATTGCTCTCCATGCTCACCTGCACAGACAGATGGACACCAACACTCGCACATCTGTTTTTCAAGTTTCAAACTTTCAATTGACGAGTGACTTTCACGCATGCACTACGCAGTTCAGAAAAAACTCCCAACTGTGATAATAATATCTCCCCTCCTTTTTCTCAACATGTAACGTCAAGTTACGTCATCCATTCGGGTGGGTAATCGCGGCAAGTCGGTGCGCATCCGATCTGCTGCCTCTACAAGCTCGATCAGACACATACACCAATGTGAGGAGGCTCAACAGTGTCAACACCGTCTCTCTCAAAAAGATAGGAACACCTGAACAGCTCCTGAGCCTTTTACCAAGGTTATAAATTGGCCTGGACTAGTCATCAGAGAGCTCTTGCCACTCCTCATGAGCCTCTAACCAAGAAGGTTATCTGCAGGCATAAATTGCCCTGGACTACCGATTTCACCCATATAGAACGCCAGGTCATTATAGCTGTATTTGGCACAACTTTCAGCCTGGATTAGTGATAATGACCGGGCGTTCTATTCGGGTGAAGACGGTAGTGATCAGAGCTCTTGCCACTCCTCATCTGAGTCAGCTCTTGCTACTCCTCGTAAGCCTTTAACCAGAGTTACCTGCAGGGAAAAATTAATAAATGATTCAATTGCCAATTCAAAACTGTCAGGCTGATTGGACCTTGTGCCACTTTTTTTGACGATTAATACCACGAACACCTCCGAGCGTCTTTTTCCCAATGCTCAATTTTGCCTGCCCCCTGGAACACTGAACCCGCGTGGAGGTTGGGCCCGGCAGTTTGCGTACCATTGGCCAGCTAATCGAACGAGTAGGGCCAAATTGGGCCTGAGGCCCTGAGGCCCTGAGGCATTTTGTGTACTCGGTCTAACGTCTCTGAGTTCTCTCTCTCTCTTTCTCTCTCTCTCTCTCTCTCTCTCTCTCTCTCTCTCTCTCTCTCTCTCTCTCTCTCTCTCTCTCTCTCTCTCNTCTCTCTCTCTCTCTCTCTCTCTCTCTCTCTCTCTCTCTCTCTCTCTCTCTCTCTCTCTCTCTCTCTCTCTCTCTCCCCCCACCCCCCTTCATCCAAATGTTTGGAAGACATTTCCTATCCTTTTTCCCTCTGTGCTACCGTTTTCACCAGAACAGAGCACCCGGTCATTATTAAGCTATATTTAGGGCAACTTTCAGTCTAGATACAGTAACAATGACAGGGCATTCTTTTCGGGTGAAAACAGTAGGTGTGCCGCCGTTGGGACTGACTCAATTCTGTTCAGGGCCTCAGGCCCTTGAGGTAACATTTTGCCCTTATTTACACACAGCACTGACCGCAGTAAATTGTCCAGAGTTAAAACTCGAACACTCCGTGCTGAAGCCAGAGTTACTACTTGGGTGCCAGCCTCCCATCCTGAGGCCGGGGGGGGGGGGCAGGGGGGGCTCGTACTCATCTCATACTGACGATGACAATGCAATAAACAAAAATGTGCATGTGGAGAGGTAGGTAAACACTGTGAAAGCCTGCCTTCAAATAAAGGTAAATATATAAGGCCACATAACGGCCCAAATTGGTATTCCATTCCATACTGACGATGACGGTTGAGAAAAGTGGAATATCAAGGTGTTTTTTTTTTTTTTTTTTAATATATCGATGTGGATTACGTGACCATGAATGGTGAGAGACTCAGAGACCATAATATAAAATAAAATCAATCAAGAAGGTTGGTGAGTGCAGGGAAAAAGTTCAAAAAACAAGCATACAAGGTGACTTTCACCGCCATTCACTGACGGCCTGTGACGGAAATTAAAAAAAAGAAGGAAAAGGAAAACAAGAGAAGTTGAACATTGCATCCGAGTGGTAGGAACAGTAGTCGGCGAGGGATAACAGGAAGAGCAACAAGAACAGGAAAAATGAGAAGAACAAGCCTCTGATTCCCTGAATGGATTGATGATAATGAACCCTTGACTTCCCGAACACTCCCCTCTCCTACCCTATAACTCGAAACTGACCTCATCATAAACGCCATCTGTGTCGCCAATGGACCAATCGATGAATCTCCGAAACTCTCTCTCTCTCTCTCTCTCTCTCTCTCTCTCTCTCTCTCTCTCTCTCTCTCTCTCTCTCTCT